TCAAGCCCTCAAAGAAACAAAGAAAAAGAAAAACAGGCTGGTTTAACTCTTGGAAATAGTGGAAAATAATCAAACAATTATGTTTGTGCAGGGTTCAACAATAAGGATGGCCTGTGTGAGAGAGTTGCAGGCCAGTTGATGGAACTGTCAAGACATGCACATACTTCATTTTGCAAACTTAAAAGGATTGTTCATTAAAAAAAAAATAATAAAAATTCTGTCATCATTTACCCAGATTCATGTCATTCCAAAACATGTATAACACTTTGAACAAAGCCTCAGTGAGTTCTTTTTTTTTTTGTCCATACAATTAAAGTCAATGGGGTCCAATGATGCTTGGTTCTTCAATATACACACACATATACATACATACATACATATAAATATATATATTTTTTTTTATTTTATTTTTTTTATTTTTTTTTGTATTCCACAGAAGGTTCCGAATAGTGCTGTCAAGCGATTAATTGTGATTAATCGGATCCAAAATAAATGAAGTTTAAATGAAGTTTTTGTTTACATAATATATGCGTGTGTACTGTGTATATTTATTATGTATATATAAATACACACACGCATGTATACATTTCAGAAAAATATGTTAGGTTTATATATTACATATATTTATATACAATATAAATTACATGAATACAAATATATACATTTAAATATTTTCAAAATATATACTGTGTGTATTTATATACATAAATATACACCGTACACGCATATATTATGTAAAGAAATTTTTTTTCTAAATGAAAATCAATCAAATTAAATAAAAATTAAAAATAAATTAAAATCAATCTGATGTATTGAATATTGCCAAATTCTGCTTATGAAGATATAACACAAAGGTACAGTTATCAAGATGACTTGCTTAGACAAGGATTTGTGCGAAAAAATTTATCCATGTAATAAATATAAATAAAAACTAGTGCTGTCAAACGATTAATCGCATTCAAAATAAAGGTTTTGGTTTACATAATGTGTGTACTGTGTATATTTATTATTTATCAATTTGCACTGGCTACCAATAGCTGCTCGCATAAAATAAAAAGGCATTAATGCTTGCCTACAAAACCACCACTGGCTCTGCACCCGTTTACCTAAATGCATTACTTCGGAGTTACGTGCCCTCTAGAAGCTTGCGTTCTGCAAGTGAACGTTGCTTTATTGTGCCATCCCAAAGAGGCACAAAATCACTTTCACAGACTTTTAAATTAACTGTTCCCTCCTGGTGGAATGACCTGCCCAACTCAATCCAATCAAGTCCTTAGCCATCTTCAAGAATCGGCTAAAAACACATCTCTTCCATCTTTATTTGACCCTTTGTAAGTCGCTTTGTATAAAAGTGTAAATGTAAATGTATTATGCATATATAAATACACACATATGCATGCACATATTTAAGGAAAATGTTACGTTTATATATTAAATATATGAACATGTATATATTTATATTCATATAATTTGTTATATATGTAAATACATGTAAATAATTTCAAAATATATACTGTATGTGTGCATTTATATAAACATAATAAATATACACGGCACACACACATTTATTATGTAAACAAAAACTTTTATTTTGGATGCGATTAATCGTTTGACAGCACTAAAAAAAACCTATTAGTAAATATAAAAATATATGAGAAAATAATGTTCTTCACACACAAAAACACTTTAATATTTTGGCATGGCAAACGTCTGTCAGAGTAGTAGCCTTAAAGGGTTCGTTCACCCAAAAATGAAAATTAGGCTGCGTTTTACTCACCCCCAAGGCATCCTAGGTGTATATGACTTTCTTCTTTCAAACGAATCCAGTCGGAGTTATATAAAAAAAAAAAGTCTTTGATCTTTCAAGCTGTTTAATGCCACTCAGCAAGTGTTGCATTGCTTCAGTCCAAAAGAACTTGAATAAAAATCGCCCATCCATATAAAAAAAAAAAAAAAACGGCTCCGGGGGGTGAACAAAGGCCTTCTGTAACGTATCGATGCGTTTTTGTAAGAAAAATATCCATATTCAAACCGTAATAATCACTTTAATCTAGCTTGCGCCAACAGTTGTACACAGAAGCAGTTCTGGGAGAATGACATATGAGGTCAGCGTTGCGCATGTGCTGGTGAGTCTCGTGAAAACCAACGTTTGTTTACAGGATCAAAGGAAGCAAAGAGAACCTCATGGCTCATCCTTTGTAGTTACCTATATCTCAATATTTTATTGAAATCCACGAATATTTATTCAGAAATGTTACATATATATATATATATATATATATATATATAAAAAAAATAATTACTGAAACACACTTTGTCTAATATTATCTAACTAAAGTAAGAACTCTAATAAATTTAATAGAATTATAACCTGAGAAAAATAGCCAATACACAACATTTGAAATGTTAATTTCCTGCAGTTAGTTAGAGTATTTCTTAAAAAAATAAATAAATGAAAAAAATGTAAACATTTTATGAGGCAATAGCAGACTCACTGCATATATTAACTTAATAAATGAGATTTTTAGTAGCAGCTCACTGTGAATTTTACATCAATGATAATTGCACGAATTACCACAGGCACAAAAGGTCACTGTTGTGTCTTATGGGTCATATAATGATTAATTAAATTAAATTTTCCCCACTGACCTTGATCTTTTGAGAGAAGAGAGCAATGCACAATGAAATCATGCTGTAACTTGTATGCAGAACTCAAACCTTCTTCTAATAAATAAATAAAATTAATAATAAAAAAAAAAACCTGATGTGCAATGAAACTGTTGCTGTAACTTTCAGAACTTGAAACTTTGATTCCATTCCAAAAATAGAATTTATGGATCCAGCTGAACTAGTTGGATTTTCATGCATTAATATAAGACTGTAGACAATAACTCATCAACAATGCCTATACCTGAGATGCTAATAATGCTAATGCTATTAATGCTAATACCGAGACCAAATAAAATGATACATCCTTTTTAAATCAACAGTGTCTATATCAAAAGACCAGGAACAATTCATTTGAATGAGTGCACAGAATACACTGCATTATTATAAGCTTTTCTGTCTCTCATTTGTGCTCAGGTCATATGAATGGAGGGTGACTCCAGTGCTGTACTAGACTGCACCGCACATTTGTGTAAAAAAAATAATTACTGAAACACACTTTAAAGGAATAAGTCAAAAGGACATTTGAGGTGCAGTAGAGATAGACTTACAATATTTTAGGTCACATTCCCCTGGGTCGTCCACAGTCACATTAGCCACTATCCTAAGGCCATTCTCCAATGGCAAGGGTGCACATGGAAGGACAAGGAGCCCCAGAATGGGCAGCAGGACCAGAACGGGATGGACAGTCATGATCACATGAGTGGCTGAGATCATAATGTGAGAGAGGCTCACATCCCCAACACCTGTGAGATATACGAAAACAACAAAACTGTTACTCGACTCAACTCAAATATATTTACTTTTTAAATACATTAGATGATAGAAAGATAGATAGATGTGAATTGTATCAGAGAAGGAAGTGAGAATGAACATAAATGTGATTCAATTGCGCCATCTAGTACAAATTCCAAAACACTACAAGGAAAAGTTTCGAAATTTCATCTGCTCTACCTGCAAAACAGCTGTTTCAATCCTGTTCAACTAAGACTAGACCACAAGTGCTATAAAACACGTAGGCATAATATAAAGTTACCGTTTATGTTCTTTTTTTCACATTAGAAGCTCCCATTTTAAAGTAACATAAGCCCTAACCTCTTCTAAGTGCTTTGAACTGGAGTTGAACCTGCAGTTATAAAGGCTTTGTTGGTTATAAGGAAGTTTCAAAAGTGAATAAATAGGTCTTGGGTGAAGCACATAAATGTCTGCCACACCCCTCCAAATGCCTGGTTACAGCGGTCACTGCAAACAGCACTGAAGGGCTCACTAAACCCGTTCCAGGATGTACAGATCATATGACTTCCATCGAGGCTTGAACAAAGCAATGAAACTCACTAAGAGATGAAGCAGATTATTCACGGATGGTCCGGCTGAGCTGGAATTAAAAACAGAAAAGAAATAAAGCAGCTTGTAGCTATAGAGAGAAAAAAAAATTAAAGAAAAAGTAGGATTAAAATCACTTCCATAGAACTATCAGCAAAGAATGCCAATGCATTATTGCATCTATTTTTCTTAACCTATAAAGGGTTAATTAAGACACGCATGATACACATTACTAAAGGTTTTATAATTTTAACTTACAGCACAATAGAAGTAATTATGCAAACGAATGCGGTTACAAATCACAAATACAACCTAAAATACTTATCTTAGAGTATTATTATGGTTACTAACTTCTTCAGAGTCATAACTATGGGAATGTAGGTCCGTTAAGAGGAGTGTGATTACAAACACCACTATTGTTTGCGGTTTACAATGGAACATGTTTTCTAACTCACTTACATTTGGATCTACTTTTCTTAGAGACACACCCTACAGTATAAATAACATAAATATACATATTAATTGCACTAAGTACAAGTTGATTTAATTAAACAAGCAATTGAATGGCTACAATAAAAGTATGACACAAAAACGGTGTTAAATATAAAGCATTGATAAAGCAAAGATTAAAAAAAACTCACGAGGATGCACTTACCAACAAATACAATGCGTCCTTTCACAATAAAAATGTCAGTTTGTATGCATGTACACAGCAGCGTTTCCAAAACACTTTCTTTAGTTTACAAGCGTAAGCAAATGAATACCGTCTCATTCCTCATGCAGTGCGTGGTTATTGTCACTCTCCTGTCAAGTGTTTCATATTTTAATTCGGGTTGTTTATATAAGTAGCAGCTAGCCGACAGACACGACACGCGAGTGATGCGACAAGAGGAAATGCAGGACTTCCGGGTCACGCAGCGGGCCGTCAACGCGTCAAAATAAACGTCCTCAGCTCATCAATTCGTCATTGAACGCAGGTGAAAATTGATTACAAAAATCATGACTCATTACAAAAATTACCACGGTAGTCATAGTTTGTGAAGTATAATGGGATTATCTGTAAAATTGATTTTTATACGAATACTAACAAATACCGCCAAATATTACAATGTACAACGGACTTTTATAATGCAAAAGTCACGTGACACTAGAGTCGTTTTTTTATTGACAAGCTGAAGCTTAGCTAAAAAAAGAGTAACCACATAAAAATAATCAAGCGGCAAGGATGATCAAGGCTATTCTCATTTTTAACAACCATGGGAAACCCAGGCTCATCAGATTCTACCAATATTTTGTAAGATAAGCGCATAGAAGACACTGAAGCCGCATTTGCCAGCTATTGCCATTCTTACTATTGATACTACCAGCAGATTAATTGAATTAGTGTCTTTTATTCAATATATCATAGTTGAACATGCAGCTTCAGATAAAACATTTGTGTACAAATACAAATTTTGAGATATGGAATGTTTATTTTTGTCTGATTGTTTTCTTAGCTTCAGTTCTTCATTTTGTTGTTGCTTATTTATTATATATGCATATGCTCATCTATATAAATGTAATAATTTATATTACATGTTCATAGTAGTCATTTTTATTTTTATATAATGTTAAACCACTAATGTTTCATTCGCTCCTCTGTATATTTTAATGTGGAAAATCCAAGGTAAAATTAATTTATCACGTTTCTTTTCACAGGCAGAAGACATGCAACAACAGATCATTAGGGAGACCTTTCATCTGGTGTCCAAAAGAGATGACAATGTCTGCAGTTTTCTGGAGGGTGGAAGGTGACATAATCTGCATAATAATGTTACACATAAGGGCTTACTGTTAACCATATCTCTACATCTACAGGTGCATCTCAATAAATTAGAATGTCGTGGAAAAGTTAATTTATTTCAGTAATTCAACTCAAATTGTGAAACTCGTGTATTAAATAAATTCAATGCACACAGACTGAAGTAGTTTAAGTCTTTGGTTCTTTTAATTGTGATGATTTTGGCTCACATTTAACAAAAACCCACCAATTCACAATCTCAACAAATTAGAATACTCCATAAGACCAATAAAAAAAAACATTTTTAATGAATTGTTGGCCTTCTGGAAAGTATGCTCATTTACTGTACATGTACTCAATACATGGTAGGGGCTCCTTTTGCTTTAATTACCGCCTCAATTCGGCGTGGCATGGAGGGGATCAGTTTGTGGCACTGCTGAGGTGGTATGGAAGCCCAGGTTTCTTTGACAGTGGCCTTCAGCTCATTACTGAAATAAATAAACTTTTCCACGACATTCTAATTGATTGAGATGCACCTGTAGTACTGTATGTGGATGGAAATCTCAAAAGTTATTTTGAGGTGCTCAATAAAACTGAAAAGGTATTTACTGTAGTTTTGCTCTTCACTTTTAGTTTGATCGGAGGCTCTGACTACAAGCTGATCTACAGACACTATGCCAAATTGCCTGTTGGATTATGGCACCACTGTAAAACCTGTTCATGATAGAAGTGTACACTACATTGCTTTTGTTAGTTATCTAATCAGCAAAAATGTTTTATGAGTGGAGGGAATTACTTGGAAATGGCAATGTATGGCTTTATGGTAACTCGTCTGAGTACGCCATATGTAACATATTTGATATTGCGCATCAGTAGTCCTGTGCATGTGTATATTTTTAGGGTTATGGTCCAGTCTCAGTTTAATGCTCTGATTCGGTCAGCTGAGCTGTTTGTGTTAAAGTATTGATTTTATGAATCGCATTTTGCATCCGATTCACAAACAAATGGTTCCTATGAAGCAGTTCTTTTAGTACATTAAAACATACAGGTAAATAAGTATAACTGGATTCCTGAACAAGTGACTCCTACGAACTGGTTGTTTTTAATAAATATATTTCAAATATTTACTATAATATACCCCAATAAGACGGAATCAAATTGTGAAATGTGTTTTGTAACTCAGGCCTAGCTGTTTATTCATAAGTCTTTTTTTTTTTAAGTTACTAATGAAAAACAAAGGCTTGAAAGTTTACGTTTTTGTTGTTTATTCCAGGTTCATTACATTCTCCAGGAAGTTGTCATGGGTGGGATGGTTCTGGAAACTAACATGAATGAAATAGTCACCCAAGTGGAGCTGCAGAACAGAATGGAGAAATCGGAGGTGAGTTCACATTGACAGAGTAACCGGTAATCGCTCCAGTTTATTCAGACATCTTTACATGCATTGCTGTGCCTCAACCCAAACAGGAAGGGACATTTTTAAATAGCTTTCTCTGAAAGATACATGCTAATTTTAACTTTAAAAAAAAATCAGGTTAAATAATATTGTACACATTAACTTGATTTTTAGCTGCATGGTTGACACAGAGCCTCGGAAATGTTTGTGAAAAACATGAATGATATCTCAAAAGACATTTTCATTAATCTTGTTTAGCATCACTTTCTTTTTCCTGCAAATCTTTTGGCTGTATCAAAGATGAAAGGCCTAAAATAGTGAAAGGTATCTGGGCTGATATCATTGGTTCACACAGTCACTGTGTTCCTGATATGCTATCTGGAGTCGAGGCAATAATGATTGATAATGTTTGACAACACTAGACGTACTCTTATGTATACATGGAAGGGGTTAAAATGAGGAAATGTTACATAAGACAATACAACACACACATTAAAGAGAACCAAAGCAACATCCATCCACAACATTTGGTTAAAGACCGTAGAAACAGGATGGTGGTGGTTCATAAACTCTACCGTACTTTGTACTTTGACAACAAAATGCAGTGTTTAACAGTTCTGTTGAGGTCAGGTCGGGGTCATGTAGTTTTTCTTGTATAACTTTGAGTTTGTGTTTGTAATTTTGTAGTATGTTTTTTATTTTAATTGTATCATATTTTGTTTTGGGCCGGGTTTAGCCTGAATTTTTTCACTGGACTTATAAGATTGGGTTACAGAATATTGTTCATAGGCCAAGTTTGGGCTTCAGTTTAATGCTGAATAAATCCAGTATGATAGTTCATGAAAAAACTAGAAGTTTGAGGTTAATAACAGTAATAAAATATATTTTTTTGTGTTTTGGCAGGGTGGTCTGTCTGCCGCACCAGCACGAGCTGTTTCTGCTGTGAAAAATATGAACCTTCCTGAAATACCCCGTAACATCAATATTGGGGACATCAATATAAAAGTGCCCAGTCTCTCCCCGTTTTGAGTTTGCATGTCTGATCATTGTGTTTTTTTGTGTGTGTTGTTACTGTGTTGACATTCATTGCCATAGATACTGTAGATATTGCCATTTATGGACTTACGACTGACCATCACCTGAGGTCTCTTAAAAATCCGAAGCACACTACTGGGTCCAATCATTTACAATGTACCTTTTCAATTTCAGACTTTGGTTTGCAGACAAACCTTTTCCAATTTTGATTATAGTGTTGTTTTGTATTTTGTCTGTGATGTAGCAAAATTCCACAGTACTGTACTAACATGTGTCATTTATGCCAACAGACCAACTACTAATGTTACACATTAATAATTTATATTAAATGTTACTTGGTCATTAAAAATGTTTTTGTCCAAATTCAAGTCTTACTTTTTTTAAAGGGGTCATATGATGCTATTTTAAATATCATTATTTTGTGTATTTGGTGTAACAGAATTTGTTGACATGCTTTAATGTTCAAAAAACACATTTTTTTTCAAATACTGTACATTATTGTAGGTCCTCTATGCCCCGCCTCTCTCAAACAATGCACCAAGAGCTTGTAACACTCTAAAGATAAATGAAATCTTGAAATCGCATCATATGACCCCTTTAAAGTTTTTATTAATTACTTAACAGATATGGACCATGAAAGGGTTCTTCACGGGTGTAAATATCTTTTGGTTACATTGCATTTGAGACTAGTATGAGCTTGATTCCTGACCTTCTCCACATTTACAAAATAAAACATTATATTAGCCCTTAATTTTTGTGTTAAAAAACATTTTATTGTCACAAAGAATCTGCAGTGTCACCAGATCTAAATGTAGAATATAATTTTGTGCACTTACTGCCTCTAAAAATTGTCAACAATCATGGGGTAAAATCTGTTTCATACATGAGAGTATGTCTGCAAATTTTTGACTAATCATGGTTGCACAACCAAAACAACAATAGCGTATGTTGAAATCTCTGATACTGCATGTTATCTTTGAAGATAGAGGTCTATCAAAGGTCCAGAGCCTTTAGATGACGTCAGGAAGTCATGAACTCCATCTCTTCTGACTTTAAAGATGCATAATATTTAATAACAAAACCAGATATCATTTTAATCAATTAAAAATAAAAACAAGATGACTTTTATAAAAAGTGCAAATCACTGCTAAAGTACTGGGAGCCTTTAGATTTAGTGAGGTAAATACTGCACAAAATAAATGTAATATTTATTGTTTTAAAGGTGAGTTTTATGGAGTCTGGTGATTTTGTTGAACACCTCATTTATAGCTGATATGGGTTAATACGATGAGGGTGGGATACCGTAAAGTCTGATAATCATTACATGCATTTTCAAATGAATGGTCCGTCTTGTGTTATTGGCTATATTTTCTGAGATACTTATCTAAATAATAAACGTCATGCCTGATACAATGTTCCTCCATAAAATAAACATATTCCAAAGGCCAAATCTTCGTATTACTTTCATCTTTTATTTGACATTTTTGTACATACTTAATCCTGTCCTTTGCTCCTGGTAAACATTAGGTAATTTAGCTAAACTGTTTAGGTAAACTGTTGTATAGTACATGTCAGCAAATTAAATTCAGGTTGAATGGATTCACAACAGTGCATGTTTTTTAAATATGCAAAATGGCTATTTATCAAGAAAATATTTATATAAATATATTATGTATATGCACTGATTAGCCACAACATAGGTATCAATGACCCTCTGAAACCCTCTGATGCCCTCTTGTACACTGGAGCTTTGCTGTATTAATTGATGAACCATTAATTAATGTGGGAGGAGAATCTTCCCAAGCCTTAAATAAAACATCCTGCAGATGTCAGTTTCACTCATATCATCCTGTCATTGCTGAAGCATGGGGAAGGGTTTCTACATCAGTAAAACTGTTGGGATAGTTGGGATTGTGTTAGCCGCTGGAGCGCTAGCCACAATCACAGCTCTCCCGGTGGTCTACTCCCAAGAGAAGTCCAAGAACAATGAGGTTAAATCCACAGATCCAACAATGGCACCATCCAATGAACCCTGGGACCAGTGGCGCCTTCCACAGACTCTTAGTCCAAAAATTTACAATATCACTCTGTGGCCACGGCTCCAGCCGGATCCAACAGGACTTTACATCTTCACAGGGCTGTCCAGCTTGGTCTTCAGATGTGTGGAAAAGACAAACCTCATCCTCATTCACTCCAACAAGCTGAACATGACAAAGCATCCCACCTTGATTGGACTTGGAGGCAAACCAGCTCCTACCATTGAATCAATTGTGATGCACACAAAAACACAGTATATGGCAATTCATCTGAAAGAAGAATTAACTGCTGGGGAAAGCTATGAGCTCTACACAGAATTTTTAGGAGAGCTTTCGGATGACCTGGGAGGCTTCTACCGAAGTGAATACTATGAGAATGGAATAAAGAAGTAAGACGTTTCTTTGACTTGTCAGTTCCTCCTATTCTACAAAAGACCTTTCATGTATAGTTAAATCTCCTTGTTCTTTTTTTAGAGTGGTTGCCACAACCCAGATGCAGGCAACAGATGCCAGGAAGGCATTCCCTTGCTTTGATGAACCTGCAATGAAAGCAGTATTCCACATTACTCTTAACCATGATCCAGCAACCGTAGCCCTCTCCAATGGTGTTGTGATAGGTAAATGAACACTTTATTCTGTACAGAAGCAGTGTTGGGTAACTGCTTTGAAAGTGTAGCTTACCAAGCATCAAGTTAATCATAATTTGAAAAGGTTAAACTTGTTTCATCAGTCAGTGTCTCTTTTTGACTTTCAGACGAGGTTAACATCACCGTGGATGACACTCTTGTAACCAGAACAACATTTGCGCCAACAGAAGTAATGTCGACATATTTGTTGGCATTTATTGTCAGCGATTTCATCTTCATTGAACAAAACATTGAAAATCTGCAGGTAACTTATCTTTTCAAAGATCTTCAGACAAAATTCCACCAATTTAATAATGAAACGTACTGCTCTATGCCCTAATCTAATTTAGTGAAGGTTAGAAAACAGCATGTGTTCATCTACTAAAACACTTCATTCTATAATTTATATAGATTAGAATTTTTGCCCGTCAAGAAGCCATAAATGCAGGACAAGGGGAGTATGCGCTCAGTGTGACTGGACCAATTCTCAAATTCTTCGAGAAGTATTACAATGTCCCCTATCCGCTGCCCAAATCAGGTAAGAACCTAAGATATGACCTATATTTTATGAGGCAATTCAATTTTTT